TGTTTCATTAATATTTACAGATTTAATTACCATGGTGAAAGCACAAACACAGGACTGAATGTCCTGATCTGCATTCTGAGCTGCATTCTGATCTACTTTTGACATTTTTCTAAGAAAAAAAAGTGCATGACATTTATTAATGGACAGCGCTGGGGCACGGGGTTCAATTCCAGACCTAGGGTGCTGTCTGCGTGGAGTTTGTATTTTTTCTCCTGTGTTCGCGTGGGTTTCTTCTGGGTGCTTCAGTTTCTTCCCACAGTCCAAAGCTATACTGGTGGGATAATTGGCTTCTGGGAAAATTGGTCCGTGTGTGTATGTGCCCTGCGATGGACTGGTGTCCCGACCCAGGGGTACCCTGCCTTGTGCCCATTGCTTGCTGGGATAGGCTCCAGCTCCCTCACAACCCTGTACTGGAAGAAGCAGTTAGAAAATGCGTGCGCGATGTTTTTTACTGCTGGTGAAGAAAGTGGCGTGAAAGCGTTTGTCACACACACAGAACGAGGGCTGCCTTTGAGCTAACAAGGGCAGCTGTCTAACCCAGGACAACGTGTGTGACAGTTCACTGAAGTGACTCTGTGACTGTTGCCCCACAGGCAGCCGTACCGCGGCGTGGGGCTGTTCTGGATAGGCTCCCTCCTCGTCAACATGATCGTCTTCGTGCCAGGAATCGTCCTTGGTAAGGAAAACACCGCGCCCCCGATCTTGGGCACGCAGCCGCAGGATCAAGGAAAAATAATCCGATCAAACTCTGAATGACACACAGGGTCAGTAGCGTCCGGTCCGACTCTCCAGTGTGACTAACCTTCTCCATCTCTTCCCCCAGGGAAATACGGTTCTGAAATTCGTCCGGCCTTCCTGCTCAATGTGCCCTACGTGCTTGTGCCCATGTGGGCGGCGATCACACTGTTCCACCGGCCCAGGGAGCTGCCCATTATCCCAGCAGATACGGTAAATCACTGCGATTAGATTCCCATCTTCTTTCCTAAGGCAAAGAAGTAGTGGAGAACTCAAGAGTCTGTTTGAGTGCAGTCTTCGTTGATAAAGGACTAGTGGGATGCAGCAGGAAGAAACTGCCACAAGCTTGAATTTACTTTATTTTAGTTGAAGGGCTGGTTTCTTTGGGCCGTTTAATTGGGTGGTAGGCCAGGTGAATGCATTTTCCTCATTGGGTAGACAATGAGTCACTCAGCAAATATGCAGCATTCTCATTGGTTGGGCGAGTCAGTCAGTGAGTACACATCATTCTCATTGGTTGGGCAATGAGTGAAAAGGCTGATCATAGGACAGCCTTGAGGCATTAAAAGGGACTAGGGCCTAATTTAAAGTTAAAGTGAGAGAAAGTGCTGTTGTTTTATGATTTGATCTTCTTCCACTTTGAACTTTCTGCATTTTGTATTAATCTGTTTTGCTCATAAAAAAACAACTTTGGTGATCGTACAGTAGTTAAATAGAAAAACAGACACTACCTCCAAATAGAACAAAAGCTGGTATTCTAAAAATATCTAATGCTTTGTTACCGTCAGTTCATGCCATAGGAAAAGGTAGCCAAACTAAAAAACGCAAAATGTTTAGGCTGCTGAGCAACATGATTTTGACCTCCAGCCTCCAGTCCCACTGGACCCCCATGGAGCTTGGCCAGCGACATGTTGACTCTGTTTCTCTCTCAGATTGCAGCAGAACAGAGAAAAGGGCTTCTCCACCGCCCCCTGGACATGATACTGCTGCTCTTCCTCCTGTGGGCCATGGTCATCGCCATCTTCAGGGGCTTTGTAAGTCCGTGGCACCATGTGCCCATCTGCCTGCCTCCTCACATGAACAGAAATTCACTGTTTCCGAGTACACCCTGTTGTCTAACCTGAAGAGACTGGGGCACAATTCCAGTTAAATCTGAGATGTTACCTTGACACTTTCTGAATGCATGTAACCCTGAGAGAAGCAGAATATTGATTTGTCTGTAGCCCTCGCTTTCTTATTTTCTCTCTTTCTGTCTCGCAGGTTGTTCTTGAATGTCCCCTGGACTTCTGTTTTACCTACATCTATCAGTATGAGCCTTACCTGAAGGATCCAGTGGTCTTCCCCAAGGTTCTGGTGAGTGTGAGCCTGTTAACCTTGAATTCGCGAAAAGAGACTTCCATTCCTCATCCATTCCTCCAGTTCCTCACCGTGAGCAGCAGCTGCTCCTAAAATGTAGCAGCCAGGCTGGTACAAAATACAGGGAGGCTGGGAAACCGCATCAGGCAAATCCTTAGCTTTGGGCTCCACATGATTTTCAACCCTTTCTTGGGCTATATAATAATTGCTTAAACTTACTGTATATAGTGCTTTATATATAGTGACTAGTATATAGTCATGGGGATCCCCTCCACCACCACCAGTGTGCAGCCCCACCTGGATGATGCACCAGTCTGCTCCTCACACACCAGCTCTCAGTGGGGAGGAGAGCAGAGTGATGAAGCCAGTTCAGAGATGGGGATTATTAGGAGGCCATGATTGGTAAAGGCCAGGGGGAAATTTGGCCAGGACACAGGGGAAACACCCCTGCTCTTTTCGAGAAAGCCCTGGGATTTTTAATGACCACAGAGAGTCAGGACCCCGGTTTTACGTCTCATCTGAAGGACGGCGCCTTTTTACAGTACTGTGTCCCCGTCACTATACTGGGGCATTAGGTCCCTACAGACTGCAGGGTGAGAGCGCCCCCTACTGGCCCCTCTAATACCTCTTCCAGCAGCAACCTTAGCTTTCCCAGGAGGTCTCCCATCCAGGTACTGACCAGGCTCACAGCTGCTGAGCTTCAGTTCAGCCATTTGTGAGTTGCAGGGTGATATGGCTGCTGGCACAATGGCACCATGGCACCAACATATGGAGGTTGGTTCTTAAGCACCCAATTTGGAATCGCCAATGGGTTCTTTGCGTCCCGGCACCCATATCGCACAAGGGAACGCGGTCCCCAGCTCCCAGCGGTGAGAGGGAGCCAGCAAGCCGCACCTAAACAACGTGGCCAGACTCCTGGCCTGTCTGCTCGCGTGCTCAACGCTGCCTCTGCTGAACGAGGAAAAAATAAAGGAGAGCCCAGTGTGACGGTGATGGGCGCCATCCGTCTTTCTGCGGCTCAGTGTGATCTGGCTGACGGCACGAGCTGCCCTGTCTTTATTTTATGCAGGGCCTTGCGTTTTGTTTTAGTGTTTTGTCTTGCTGGCTGAGTCGATAGGTTATCAAAAGTCCTTGTTATGGCTGGCTTCCTGGCAGCGTGGAGTGCCATCGATCAGCAAGGAATGAACCAGCGAGCAGTTGATAAGCTAATCCTTGCCATGAGTAATGGGATCTCAATCAGCAAGACGCAGGGCTGGGGGGGTCAGGTGCTGGCGTGTTTTGTAGAGGACACGCTTTCTGGATTCTGCTTCTCTGCCCGCTGACCCTTCTTAATTATTGATGCCGATTAACAAAAGGAGACAGTTGATCCCGCGCTGTAAGTCAGAGCTGCGCAACACCACCGCAAGGACACTTTAATGAGCTCTGTGATCTGTAGGAAACTACAAAACAAAAGATTTATCCTGGAACTTTGGAATAATAAATGCTTATAATTTTTGTTACACTTCTCCACTTTAAATGAAAATGTCTGACTATACTCGTCTGTCATGTTATGTACTTTATTTCCATTTAGGAGAAAAGTGTATTTTGTAGCACCCCCATGATCATTTCTAGTGTAGTACAGTATTTTTGCTAGTAAATAGATCCTTTTAGCTCTGTGCATTCAACAGGATGCATGCCCAGGACTTCTTCATAGCTGCTTTGCCACCTGTGCTGTATATTAATGTTATATTAATATTAATATAGGAGTGTTTGTACCTGTATTTCAAATACGCACCTGTACACCATGTCCAAAAGGAGCTCCCGTTATGTTTTGCAGATGCTGTTGTACCTGTTCTACGGCCTGCCAATGCTTGCTGTGTTCACCTACGGGCTGGTGAAACCTGGCTGCACCTGGATGCTGGACTGGACACTGTTCTTTGCAGGAGGAGTAGCTCAGGTACAGACCGATCAGTTGTGCGGCTTCCACATCCTGCATTATTTAAATGAGACTCCGAGTCAAGCTGCTTGTAATAAGATAAACCACAACACCCACACAACTCATTTCTTCCTAAGGCCATTATTGAGGCCACAGCCTAACTACTCTATAATGGAGAATGCATTCTGCTATCTAATAAGAGTCTCTATTATACAGGCTTTTTGGCAGCCTTGACTTGGGCTCTCCCTGGCACAGAAATGGACTCTTTGAACTTCTCAGCTCATTCATCTAGTTAGAGAACAAGGCAAACGTGTTAATGCCTGTGTTTCTCCTGGTGCAGGACTCAGTGCCATTTGCATTAACAGCACACAAACATCAGTATGCCTGTGCTCCCTCTGTCCTTCATTAGAAGATATCAAACCCGCTGTGGCTTTTCAGATCTTAGCGTAAGATCCTATGCCCCAGCTTTCATTATTTTCCACGCCTCGGGAATGGGGCTGCCCATATCAAACAGGCCTTTGATATCAACACAGTGCTTAAACACGGTGTCTTCTGCCCCGTCCCACTCAGCATGGGGGCTGAGCCATCGAGGAAGCCTGCGTTCCTCATCAGTGTCTCGGAAAGGACAGTAACGAGTCCTCCCTTCCTTTTTGCGTGCAATAGTGCTGCTGATACTAAGAACAGCTGCAGCCAAGGGGAATGCGACACTGCCTTTGGACTGCCTTCACATCAGAGTATAAACAGCACATATCGGAAGTACAGCCCCTTATAACTGTATTTTGCAAGAGTGTAAAGTAACTAATCTGGATTACTCATTAGCCTTACAATAAGCAAAAAGCAGTTGCCTATCAAATTGATTGAATTTGCCTGGGCTGGCACATGTCTCCCAGTCTTACCATTTTCTGTATTATTTCAATACCCCTTGCTGTTTTCTGTCTTCTTGTGATGCATCAAAGTGGGTTTTACTGTGGAATAAGGAGAAGCTTCCATAATTAAACTGCTACAACGGCAATAGACCCCAGTGAGTGGTGTTAATAATATGGCTACTTGACAGCATGTCCCCTTTCTTCCACCTCCACCCTTCTCTCTCCCAGGCCCAGTGGTCCCATATTGGCGCGTCTCTGCATCCCAGAACCCCCTTCACGTACCGGGTCCCAGAGGACACATGGTGGCCTGTGCTGCTGCTCAACCTGCTGTTTGCTCTGGGGCCCCAGCTGCTGGCTTGGCGCTGCCACCGGCACCCCGAGTTCTTCATGAAGAATGTGCCCCAGGGGCAGACCAACCAGGAGAAGAAGCAGAATTAAGACCTTGCCAGCTGCCCACTGTGATACTGGACCGCCAACGACACAGCCCCCCCCCACCCCCCAGCACTGCTGAGACCGCTGTGTCATACTGAGTGAGAATAACTCCACTGACCCCCAGAGACTGTGAAAGGACGCTCATGTGACTCGAACACCCCACTGGACTGAGCAACTCAATTTGTGCCACAATCACATCTTGGCATGTGAGACTCCTGGACTAATAAAGCTTCGCTACCCCTGACCTTGGAACTCAATTAATGCAACAATACAGCTCCCCCGGACTTTCTGAATGAGCTCGCAGCTCGCTCTCGCTGCGCTGAGAAGCCTGAATTGCAGCTGGCGCTTTCACCTCCCCCTCGTCATTGTGTAAGTGAAGTAATACGGAATGACATGGCTCATTCTGCCTCCTGAGCTTTGAACCCGTGCTGATGCAATGACTCAGCTCTGGACTGTGAAACTGAGATTGATGCAATAACTCTCCTCCTGGGGGGAAAACAAAAGAGCAACGCGATTAAGACCGCTGCAGCATTCTAGAATTCTGATCACAGGGTTCATAAAAGTACCAGGAGTCTTCCTGCCACAGAAGGGAAGGAACAGCTCCTATTCAACCAGTAAGGATTTGTGATGAGGATGATGATGATGATACTGGACAACAGTCCTGTTCAGGCTGCTGCCCCCAGGACAAAAAAACAAAAAGAGAGGTGTTGAGTCTGGACCTTGGCAAAACAAAAACTCCCCCGAACAGGAGCTCGCAGTGAAGCATTTTTATGCAATTAGAAAAGGTCACTTTTTGGGTTTCTGAGATTTTAACTCTATGTTAAGCAATCAGACAAGTTAGTTAAAAAAAAGTGCACGTATTGATGTCTGTCTGCCTCCTTTCTCATTGAAGTTTCATAAAGTTTCAGTTTCCATAGTGCTGTGTGAAGTCTTCTTTCAGTTTTCTAATGATGCTATTCAGCTAAAAAGCCGTTAAAGTTATGGATATAGTGACGCCACCTGACATGACGAATTTCTCTCCCGCTACGCTTGACCGTTTGTCTTGGTTCACTTTGGGTCACTTGGTCTTTCAAAAACCAAGACATTAGTAGGTCAATAATAAGTGAAACACTGCTGAAACTGCACTTTGCTTGCTATGATATGAGTTATCCAGCTTGGGCGTGTGTTTGTCTCCTAGAATGATGTCATCTTCACCTGTATGCAACTGCCCTAGTGAACCCTCTGCTTTCAACAAACTGCAGTTGGAGTAATGAAGGTCAACTTGCTTATATAGTTTTTTTTTTTCAGAACGTTTTTCACTGTGAATCAAATAACTAGAGGCTGTCAACCAATCTTGATTATTATTGCATAACTCCTTCCATAACAGTTGGCCGTAGAGCACTTCACAGATTTGTATAGCGTTGGACAGTATTGTACAGACACGGGTGACCAGGTGGGCAGAGAGAAGAGGAGAATACAAAGTAAAAAGGTAAAAGGGTCAAGATCTGATGGCTGTCCTCTGTCTAGGTATGATGGGGTGGAGGTAGGATGCAAGAGACGGGCAAGAGAGAGAGAGAGGGATCTTGTAGGTATTTATAGCGCTTGGGAGAGGAATGGATTGTCAGGAGCGATTGCTAATTACTGACCGCTGAGTCTGATTGAGCTTGGTTGTTGTCATACCTCCTGAACTTTTGTTATAAACTCCATTTGTGGTGCATCAGTTATGATATATTTTAGTCGATCTATTTACATTTGCCCATAATTTGGAATGTAGAGAGAGAATCAACCCAGCCCCTCGATTCTAAACCTTTCTCTCCAAGCACGCTCTCTGTAAGAGCAGGGTGGCTGTTTGTCGGGCTGTGACAGGCTTGCAGGCTAGGCCGCAGTCAGTTCAGGCTGCAGCTGTGTGCTACGATCTGTAATGTAAATGGCGTTCCCTCACTCACCGAGAGCGTGGCAGGACGCGGACGTTGACCGTATGGCCAGTCATCGCTCATCACAAACACATCTCAAGCCTGGCGAAAAAGAAGTCTTGAGCCCCCCTCCAGCATGATCCTACCAGAAGTAGGTCCCCCCCCCCAGACTATAGGCTGTAGGCAGCCTATAGTCTGCCTACAGCCTATAACAATGAAACAATGAGTGAAGACATCAGTGCAGAGAGACGTTTTCTGTTTGTCTTCTGTGATTGCAACTGAAAAATCAATGCCTTGCCTCACAAAATGGGTCTTCAGCTATGTTCTTCAGTAAAAAAGATCCGGAATGCCATTAAAAGATCCAGAATGGAGGAACTAGCACTCCTGTGTACACGCTATAACGGGCTAGTGCTCCTGTCTCTGGGCCACATCCTCAGTGCTACGCCAGGCATTTGCTACCCTTAATGGAACAAAGTAACAAAGTATTTGGATAAGATGCCAAATCACCTGTTTTTTTTTTTTAAGCCACAGTGAAATTGCTAATTGTACAAGTTGCAGGGGCCTGGCGCCAGTACAGCTGACAAGTCAGTAGAAGCATTCAAAGCCATGCTGGCAGTCACAATGGGGAGCTTATGATAGGTTTTAAAAACTGTTTGCTCTCTGTTCATATTGCCTCCCATGATAATCCACCACAGGTGTTTTATATAAGATATCTCTCTATATATATATGACATTTTCAGCCTAGGCGATTAAGGTTTCAAATCAGTGGAATGCTGAAGGGATGGTTTGTGTAGCCAGGAGAAAATGTGAACCTTCCTAAGCGAGCTCTACTTCCTGTTCAGCCACACATTTGTGGGGTGTGCCGATTAGGATTTGTCTGCTGGTTTTGTCAAAAAAAAAAGAGGCTTGCTTCTGTCCAGTGCAGCAACTATGACTCTATAAAGGCGGTCTATTTACTCAGGACTGCATGACCTACGGAGCGAATGTATCAATTTATGTCCAGGCTTGGAAAGCCCAGCACCAGGACCAGATTTAATAACATTGTCCTGAAAAAGCAATATACAACTGACACTGCTGCCGCCTTGTTTAGTTTTAACCCATTAGGTCCTGAACACAGCACTCTGAACACAGCTGTATCTATCACACAACATCATTCAGCATGGCTGCCATTTTGCTCTTTGGCTAACATTAAAAGTTTTCGGTTTGTTGCAAGCGTTGTTGGACTTTTGCAACACCTCTCTGGACCAGAGGGTAGGTCACACCTAATATGTGTTTAAAGGAAACAGAATGGACTTTAAACCAAGAAATTAAAACACGCAGAGGAGTTGCCAACAATTTGCATGGCCAATGAAGAAGATAAGCAGATATCATCTGCAAGGTACAGGCTTCCAAAGTCCACATGAGTCACTGCACCAGTAAAATACTCATCTGTATAAATGGACACATAGGTTTCTTTGGATAAATGTCAACCAAAATAGTAATAGTGAAACCCACACTAACAGGCTGAGGGAAGTTAAAGTAGGGTTCACTATTACTTTATTATCAAGTAGTAATGGTAAGAAGCAAGAGCCTTTTTTAGTCCTGAGCAAACTATGAGGAGCCTGATTGAAATATTCAAGCTCCTCAACAACATCACCGACAACATCAACCTAGTGCATTCCTGCATAATAAAAACCCTGAAATGTGCACCAGAACACCCAAGTGGAAACGACATGGAAATCTATGTTCATCCAGGATCAGGAGGCCCAGATAAACATGGGTCTTTGCACAGAGGATTGTGGGAAGCTGGAGAAAGCAACACAGCCATTTTGATGAGGTCAATACCCTGGTTTCTTTCACTAAACATCTGGATGAGATCCTGGGATCAATAAACTAGTAACCGAATGGCCTTCTCTCATTTGTAACTGTTCTTCATAATAATGACCCCTTCCTGGGAGGGCTGTCTTACTCGATGTGTGTAACAAGTCAAACTAGTTGTGGTGTGACAATCCCAGAACTCCCAGAATGAAAACCAGTACTCAGAATGCAGTTTAGTGTCGTTTAAGAACTGCAGATCCAGTGCGCGCCTAAAAATGATATTTTCCTGGCATGCTGCAGATAATCACAGGGCCAGCAGCACATAGTGTGAGGATCTAACTATGGTGTCTGATCTTCAGGCAAAAGGATAAGACATTAGCCATATTTAAGCTGGCATTGAAGCACACATAGCCGATCAAAAGGCTAGCAAAGGCTTTATCTTTAATATTAGATTATTGCAAGACAGCACAGTGGTGCAGTGGTTAGCATTGTTTACTCTGAGTGGTGGAGCCCTAGGTTAAATTCCTGGAGTGCTATTACTAGTAGCTATTTGTGTGAAGTCTGTATGTTTCCTTCCACAGTCCAAAGACATACTGGTGGGTTAACTGGCTGGTGGGAAAATTGGCCATGGTGTGAGTGTGTGGATCTGCCCTGCAATGGACTTGTGTCCTGTCCATGGTGGTGCATGTTATGATAGGTTCTGGCTCTGGATAAAGATGTTCACGAATGGATGACAAAATGCATAAAGGTTGTGCTAGAGATTTGTACATTCCTTTAACAACTGGTAAATAAGCTTGGTGAATTTGGAAAATTCTTTGAGAAATCCCTTTTTACCTATTACAGTGAAAATCCAATGGATAATTACCACCTGCTCCTAGGCAGGGACTGCTACACTGATTCAGATTTGAATAGCAACTGACAGAAAACTACAGCCCTGTGTGAATATTGGTTTCTTCCCAGCTCACAACTCCCACCTCTGCTGTTTGTGATGTCAACTGAACCACTCATCCACAAAGCAGTCCGACTGTGAGTGTGAAACGTGTGCAGTGTGGTGTCAGATGGTATTTCTTCACAGAGCTGAGGAGACAACTGATCGGGCACATGGAGCCCATTCCTGACCGCGGCTCCCAGTTTCACTGAACAAACACACAGCCCTGGCCGTGTTTCAGCGAGCACCAGGGGCAGAGGGCAAAGTTCAGGCCAGCGTGTCTCCCAGGGCTGTCAGAGAATTAAACAGTGAACTCTGAACCCAAAGGGTCAGTCCTGGGCGTGCGGCCCACCGGCGTGGTGTGTTTATCAAACACAGGAGACCTGGACTGAGGTGTTTGTGACCAGATCCCCATGGCTCTCCTGGCCAACGGGGCTCAATTCAAATACAAATGATTTTGCATGCAAAAATAAACACAGAGATACCCTGTAAACTGACTACGCAGCAGAATCGGGGAGAACTGTGCTGTAAAACATCAAGATTGTTTTACAGCACAAATTTAAAAATGTAACTGGGAGTAAGTCATGAAATGTTACATACTGTACTACGTAACTACTAACATCACTAAGGAACGAGACACAACTTTTCGCAGCACAACACAACTTTTCGGCTGTGAAGCTTTTTTTAGAACTGAAAGGTTCTCTTTTGTTTTCCTTTCAGCACGGAATAAATCCTTACCTGTTCCTTTGCAGCCTACGCATGCTGGTGGCAGCTACTGTATTTTCTAACTTCAACTAAGGTAAACGACGTGCTTTTTTTCGACTCACCAAGAGGGGGCGCTGTAACTCCGGTTTCTTCATGCACAGGCGCCGTTCACGGCGTATGGTCAAGTACTCGTCACAGTTTGCCAAGAAGCCTACATACAATCCAAACAACAGTGGGCAGGCGTGAAGGGAATATAATTTTAAAAACCACAATTAAAAAAAAAAAGTTTTGTAATTTTACTGTAAATATTTACGCGAATATTATAAATAAAGAAAAAACAACCTTTGGAGAATGCGGGCATCGATCCCGCTACCTCTCGCATGCTAAGCGAGCGCTCTACCATTTGAGCTAATTCCCCACTCGAGTATAGTGTCTCCTCCGCTCGCTCATGTTGTTGTAACCCACTTCTTCCAATAAAAACAAATCGAATCTCTAGCCAAAAGGAATTAAATCCGTGCATTTTGTTTCTGACTAGAATGCCATGGCCCTAGTTCTTTCTTGAATACGCTAAGATAGACAATCTGCGAGGATTTGAAAGTGGAAAACCCCTCAAGACGTTTGTTAGGCCCTGCTCCTTCCTAGAGAGCAAAATTGAAACGAGCTGGTACCAATCTTACAATAAAAAAAAGCGCTGTACTGTAGTTCTGAAAAAGCGTGGCCTGTTTTAACAGTAAATTCGCGCAGGGCAGAAGAAGCGTGCTTGCAGGACGGACATGCTGGTGCCCGTGACGTCATCGCACCTGCGCTCCCCGCTGCGTCCTCGCTAAGCGCCTGATTTCATTTTGCCAGACCAACCCGCTCCTCTGCCCTAGCATCCCGACACCTAATTCATAGAAAAGTTCGGATGTAGCTTATTTTTAACTCTGCTTTGCATTGTAATGAACGTTGTCTTTAACCACGTCTGTTGCTTGTAATTAACGCTGAACGACTCAACCAGAAATGCCTGCGTTTGCATTTTCTTTTATCGGTGCAGCAGGGGGTGTCCGTTTTCAAGAGCTTTACGCGTGGATACCGAAAGGTGACCCAGTCCACATGCCAGCACCTTATAAAACACCACAGACCCCTTTTCACACGAGGTTGGCCTTGAGAGGAGCAACCTGAAAAACTACCAAAAATAATCTGCTGCTCTGGGGGTGGGGGGGGAGATTTTGACTCTGAGCTGCGATGCGGCGCATCAATGTCGTGAGATGCTGCGTGTGAGAAAAAGGCATAGCGCAGTCGGGCCCGGAGGACCGTCAGCACTTTCTCCTGCACTGCCAAAAAAAAAAGGGAGAAAAAAAACCTGAGGGGAGGATTAAGAGTAAGAGAGAGAGAGAGGGAGAGGAGCTGAGAGGACAAGAGTGGCGCACTAAAACCTCCCTGCTGCTTGCGCGTTGTGACTGTTCCTGGCCAGCGCCGCGACGAAAATAACTTTTCGCAACCCGCAGAACTTTGTCGTTCATCTTGTATTCTACATCTACAAATTGCACCAGAGGGGATAATGGTAAGTTGTTTGGGTTTTTTTTCCAGCGGGACGGGGACGGGCTGTAACTGACGCAGGTCTGTTTGCCGCAGGCTCAGCCTGATCACCTTGAGAATGCGGGGCCTCGCCGGAGACGCGCTTGTGCGGCAGCACGCGTGTCAGGAGAGCGGGTGGGCGAAGTCAGAAGTGTGTGTGGGAGGGGAGTGTGTGTGTGTGTGGTGTGGGGCTCTTTAGACGCTTTACATAATGTGCCTCGGAGGCGCGATGTTGTGCCACACGCAGGTTTAAGCGCTGTAAGAGTGGCGCTTTTGGCACGAATACCCTTCTGCAGGGGGGACGGGACGGTAACGCTTACCTTAGCAGCGATTTTGATATCTAACCCTTTTCCCTCCGTCTGCCTGCTGTAATGCACCGTAATTATTCTCTTCTACCACAATCATATTCTGTCGGCATCAAACTACTTAGATCTTGGAGTCCGCCGTGCGCGGTGGTTGGTGGACTTGTAAGAATGTTAGCGCTTTGTTCTAGGCATTACGCTGGGCCCTGACCTCACTGCGTTGTGTATTTCAATACCTGACCCCCGGCCCTCACAGGTCTTTCAGAGCCTCAGGTCCGCCCCTTCAAAGGGCAGATTTGTGCAACAAAAGAAAACGTTCACACTCGCCTAGCAACCTTCTCCAACGGTCTGCAGATTGGCGCCCACCTCTGTGTCATGTGTACAGTTGTGCGTATTGTGCCTCTGGTGTCGTAGAGGTGAATTTCCAAGTGGACAAGCCGGGCGGATTGCTCTGCAGGATTGCTGCTCGAACCCTGGTCTCCCCGGGTTCCTCTTGCCCTCCTGCACAAACTCACCAGGGCCTGTTGCACAGGGCTTGCCAGTGCTCAGGCACGTGGACAGTGGAGCAGTTTGCGGTATTAGTGACAGCAGAATTAAGACCTAAAGCTCTCCTTGCTTGCAGCCTCGCTAAGCTCTCATTAAAATTCCTGAGGAACAGCTCCAACAGCTGTCAGATTCGCTGGCAATGCCACTGTCGGTTCCCTGCTGTGCGTCGTTCCGATTTCTTTCCTCAAGCCTCCCGTTGCTGCCAGGCCTCACCTGAGTACCTGACCATTAGAGATGGCATGATCACCAGGCCCAGATGACACTTATTTTCAAAGCCAAAGAAAGGCAGGGGACAGTAGGGCCATGAGGAGGCATAAGCACATATAGCAGCATCTGTTCCAGTCAGATCAGGGCTCGAACCTGGGACCACCCTGGACTGATCGGATTTCCAAGACCAGTATTTGCAATGTGGCTCATTCAAGGCCTGATCTAATGTCACTCACAGCATGGACAGGGCAGTGTGCATTTCCATACAAAAGCCCTGACAATTACAAACCAGAAACATAATGGCTTGTCTTCCCCATTTGAATCTCCTGGAAAGCTAGAATCAAGTTCTGGGTTTGATATTTGCGTTCAGCAGTGTAATTCTATGTTTTGAGCTCATCCTAGCCTAGGTTGACATCATTGCTGCTTATACTGACTTGACTGTGCTGTTTCTGTTCAGCTGGGGTGGCTGACGGTTACCTGTGTCTTCTTGGCTCTGGCCTTGCCTGTGACGTCACGCCTTGCCGAAGCAGACAAAGGAAGGAGAAAGGTGGTTCACGTTCTGGGTAAGGCGGCGTCCCCCACGCCCTTTTGTTTGCAGACCTTTGCTGAAAAAAAAGCCGAGAAATCGAATCTGGTTAAATCACTGAAGCATGTCCTCCTCGTTTCGTTTCCCAACTCTCCTCCGAGCCACAGCTGGGTGCGTTTGCATGGCAAATATGCACAGGCCTTCAGCAAGCGTGCTTTTCAGTTCCAGCATTCTGGAAGCCAAACAGTCGCTCCCCTGCCCTAACAGCGCCGAAAACTGTCTTCCGTGTAAAATATCCAAGAAAGCTACGTGCAGAAAATGTTGGTATTATCTGTCTCTCCCTGTCTTTGCCTCTGTGCTTTATCATGTGAGTCCTTTTAGGAAGAGGGCAGAAACAACCAGACATCATCCTTCCATGCTGACTGCACGCTCCTCGGTTGCAAATGAAACAGTGCATGCAAAGGAGTTCCTCCAACCCCTCTAACTACTGTAGGTCTGTTCTCATTGTCCAGGCCTGTCGTGAGAGGTGTATTTGCTGCACATGGGGGGGTTTCTTCCCGAAACAATGCTGCTTCTGATCAGCATGCAGCCCACGCCTGCTGCCTCCTTAGCTGTGAAGACAAAGTCTTCGAATTTGGAAATCTCCAGGCTGGCATCTCTGCGGCGGCTGGCACTGGGGCCCGGCCACACTCCTCGGGGGTGCAGCTGAATGCCTTGGTGACAACCGAAACACCAGCTACATGCCAGCTGCCCAGAGAGGGCGGAGAGGTGGCAGCCCGAAAGAGACTCGAGTCGTTTTTGAAACTGTAGTTGGTGTGAGGTTGAATCGGCCCGAGGATGTACTGTATTCATGTCCTGATGCCCTGATATCACAGGAGCTCTGCATGGCCGCATCACAACAAGGTCCGTCATTTTTGAAAAACAGAAGTGTTGATAACGTGTCCAAGGAAACAAAACAAAAGCAACCGCCTTAGTTAATTAGACGCACAGGGATTATAAATACCTTCTCTTTCACAAAACTGGGCATTGCACCACATCAGTCTCTGAGCTCCAAATGTTATCCTGTCTTCCCTGGCATCTAAACAGTGTGCTTGTATTTAGAGAGCATCTAAAATAAAAATGAGTCTCGGCTGCTTCCGGGAGCGCCAAGGCAAAGCCTCCTTTCTCCGACCGGGCGGATGGGACGTGTCCCCTGAGCCGTGCCGCGATTCCCGGTGGCCGCCGCGAACGCGCGGGCCGGTGTTCAGCTCCCGCTGGTTTCTCCCCCTCCCATCAGAGGACGAGAGCGGCGCCGTGGTGGTGCAGACGGCGCCGGGGAAGGTGGTGACCCACCGCGGCGGCTCCATCACCCTGCCGTGCCGCTACCACCACGAGCCGGAGGGGCCGGAGCCCGCCCGCATCCGCATCAAGTGGACCAAGGTGACGGGCGCGCTGCAGTTCGAGGACGTGTTCGTGGCGCTGGGGCGGCAGCAGCGGACGTTCGGCGGCTACCGCGGCCGGGTGTCCCGGCAGGGGTCGGGCCTGGGGGACGCGTCGGTGGTCATCCACAACGTGACGCTGCAGGACTACGGCCGCTACGAATGCGAGGTGACGGATGACATGGAGGACGACACCGGGTTCGTCAACCTTGACCTGGAAGGTCAGAGTTCGGGGGAACAGTCAGCAGGGGGGTGGGGGTCCAACTGACTTGTAGTAGGACCTTGGGTTCGCCTAGAAGGTCAAAGGTCAGGTGATCAAGCAGCATCTTGGGAGACAACTTAGGGCATGGTTGGGCTCGCCTGCCTCGATCTCGTGGGTCAGAGGTCAGGGGATCCCTGGTGTGCAGGATTTGCTTCCACTATGCAGTGCAGATTGTGTCACGCACCCATTAGCAAACATACTTCCAGAGCAATACTAAATGCGTGTTTCCAGCTACAAGAGATCAGGGGTTCACCCATGCATTTGCCTAAACAGAAGCAATTTCTTTCCGTGAAGTGAATTAGCACAAAACGATTCTGTATAACTCAAAAAGATGAATTTACTGAAATCAGAACTGCCCGTTCATTAAAAAGAGCTTCAGCCTCAACCGGTATCCGAGGACTTGAAATTGGAAGTACCTATTCAAATTCCTCTAACCTTCTTCCAGTAGTGCTCACAGCCCATTCAGCAGCTCTCCCGGCGCCCCACGCTCATGGTGATCCCACTGCACTTCTGTCCACAGGGGTGGTGTTCCCTTATCACCCTCGGCTGGGCCGCTACAAGATGAACTTCCACGAGGCGCAGGAGGTGTGCGGGCAGCAAGACGCCATCTTGGCGTCCTACGGGCAGCTGCACGCCGCCTGGCTGGAGGGGCTGGACTGGTGCAACGCCGGCTGGCTGGAAGACGGCTCCGTGCAGTACCCCATCTCCCAGCCCCGGGACCAGTGCGGGCGCAAGGAGACCCCCGCCGGGGTGAGGAACTACGGCTACCGCCACAAGGAGGACGAGCGCTACGACGCCTTCTGCTTCACCTCCAACCTGAACGGTGAGCTGCGGGCTGGGGCACGGGCCAGGGCTGGCCCAGGGGGGGGTTCGCGAGGAACGGCCACACCCAAGAATCACACGCGTTGAAAGGGCTATAGAGCCCTTTGAGCACAGTGAGTTGGGCTGAACCCACTTGGCTGAGGGCTGACCCCCTGGCCAGAGGACAAGGAGGCTGGGACCCCCCCCGGTGGAGGGGTCAGAGGTCAAGTTGGAGGTAGAGGAGGGATGCAAAAAGATATGTGCGAGGGAGCGAAGGGGATTGCATGTAGCATTTAGTGCTTTTTAGGTGAGAAACTGACATCTGGGATGATTATAAATTACTGATGACTGAGGCTCATTGAACTTGGCTGCTGTTTATAACTTCCGTTAGAAACTTCATTAAGAGTCTGTGAACCGCTAAGCGGTTTTCAAATGCCCGCAAGAATTACTCCAGATGATAAAGTACCAGGTGTACTGCAAATCAGGTCAGTGGTGTTATCGAAGTGTGGGAAAGAGGGAGCCGCACGAAGAAAAACAGCGGTGTGTTATTTCAGCCCTGAATTTCGCCTTTTCTTTTTCCGCTCCACTGAGGAGCAGAGAATGTTTCTTTAGAAGCTCCTCCCTTGCGCACTATTGCAGGAAAGTCCGGGATGTGGAATACGCCCAGCCTGAACCATGGAGAACGATACAGCTGCTGACCAGCTGCGAGATTATTTATTTTGCTCAACGGCCCGCAGAGAGATGCTGGACGATATTCCACGCTAATAGGCGGCAGTAATAGAAACAAACAGAAAATCAATAGCAGAATTCAGCACCATACGTGGAGTTCAATGGGAGACGGTGCTCAGCTGCTTGCTGTTCTCTGGAATTCGTTCTAGATTTAAATGGATGTGTATGACAGGGACATGCACATGGTTTTTGGTGTCTGCTCAGATTACTGCACAAAAAGGTATCAGGATCTGCCCTGCAGAGCTTTGAGACTTCAGGTCTATATCCCTGGCCAATGTCTCCCTCAGCTGACCACAGTGCCCTGGGTGGTCACCCTGGTCACCTTTGTGTAAGGCCAGTCCTGTTCACTGTGTGGACTGATTTCCAGCTGGAAACACTGGCCAGGGATGAAGAGCTGAAATGTCAAAGCTCTGCAGTGTAGGCCCCGATACCTTTTCATGTGGGCAGGTGACTCCCTCCTACAGTAAAATACTCTGAGCCTTTATCATTTAGCACCCTGTGGTCAAGTACGTATTTGTTCTTCACCTTGAATAACGTTGTCATTGGTTTATATGCTGTATTTCAGATTAAGAGGTTGGTTAAGTGGAGTGCAAATATGAAATCAGGTTGGAGTGGAAGTGTGCAGCTGGGTTTTTCTCCCAGATCATGTAGTGCTGGGTCATCATGTCTCGGATTCTAAGAAGGAGGACACTACTCACTGCGTCTGTCAGCAAGGAGGAGGGTGACAAGATACAGGTTCGCCCAGGTAACCTATCTTCCCTGAGGTCAGCCAGGACAGCTTCGCCCCGCCAAAAGACTGGCTCCTCTGCCGGGACGGAGCCCTCCACTGTCAAGATCTTTGAAAGAGGGACAGTGTCACTCAGACACAGTTGATTTAGACCTGAGCCCTGAGACGCATGCGCCTGTCAGGATGTGTAGTTCTGTCAGACAACGCTGAGATTAAACCTCCATCACACAACGGCATTAGAGGAGTCAGACACCCTGTACATCTCCTTGCAGCGAGCCCAGAAAGATGAGATTTTTTCGTCAATCGCGGTACTGTTGAAATGTCTCTTGTCAACTCTCCGATATACCAAAATCGGCATATTTCAGTAACCCAGGCCCCTAAATTTAAATGTAAACGTGCAGTTAGAGGTCCATGCAATTAGGAGCTGCCAGAGCGTATCCTGATGCCCAAGTGTGGCTCCTCTCTCTTCCAGGCAAAGTGTATTTCCTGAAGAGACACAAGAAGCTGAGCTACGCAGAGGCAGTCAAGGCCTGCCAGCGGGATGGCTCCACCATCGCCAAGGCGGGCCAGCTCTACGCCGCCTGGAAGATCCAGCTGCTGGACAGATGTGAGGCCGGCTGGCTGGAGGACGGAAGCATCCGCTACCCCATCGTCAATCCGCGGAGGCGCTGCGGGGGCTCCGCGCCGGGGGTGCGCACGCTGGGCTTCCCAGATAAGAAGTACCGCCTGTACGGGGCCTACTGCTTTCGCCAGGACGCCGAGGGTCCCGACGGCACGGCCGAGGGCCAGGAGAAGAGCAACAGCACCACAGGCAAGAGCCCGGCGGGGCTCTGAAGCCCGGGAGGAGGAGGTGCGACTCTGGGGGAGCGCTGCTGCACGGCACCAGGGCGCTCCCAAGACTTGCTCCCCAAAAAAAATGACTGACAAGGTGATCCGCGGCACTTCGACCGGTACGAAGCTGTCTGCCTTTCAGAAAGGGGATGTCAGTCATCTTCGGCGCAAGTCTCGAGTCCTCTTCTGAAAAGGGAAATGAGCTCCTGCTGACGCGGCTCATGAGCAGCAGATAACAAAGAGCTTCGTTAGGTCCATTGTCTACCATCCCAACTGCCTCCACACTGGAAGATCAGCATTTTTCATTACAGTCTCCGTTTTGCTTAGCTTTGCCAGGAAAACCGTCCGCGACGCAGACGCCCCTGTCGGTGACACACTAATTACATTTAGCTTCTTTATTCATATTTCCTAATGAATGCAATGCATTAGTCATGGTTTGTCTCCCTCAGGCCTGGTTATGAGTGAGTGATGAGGGAGGGAAAGCAGCTGATTTTGATCTGGGTCTCTTTGAATTCTAACCAGCTTCATCTGTGCTTTACCGCTGATTTCCTGCTCACGGGAATGGTGGCAGTTTTACTTTGCCTCTGAGGTTTCCATCAGATCACCAGGATGGGTACAGAACAATTTAAAAGGAGAAAACCACTCATCTGTTGATCACTGGTGATGAAAGCATTCTCCTTTTTAGTGCCCTATGCTTGCATAATATTATCTAGAGTATTTACCAATAATACAATCAGTGGTCAAGTGTTAGGAAACCCTCCAGTCCATCGAATGACTCTCAGCGACCGGGAGATTTCAGCAGAACAGGAGGCCTCCATCATCTTCCCCAGCCAGAGCAGTCCTAGGTCTCCACCGTGTTCGGTAGCAGCAGGAGTGGTAGATAACACAGATCCAGCCCACACATCTAGACAGGACAGGCCTGAGCTGCAGATGGTTCCGAACCCCCTGGAATTTTGCATGTCAAGCTGCTTGCTTCTCATAGAGGTTCAGCACACCCGACATTGGATGAAGGGGGAAGGTTCCTAATATTTTGACCATTGAGCGTATTATCAAATTGGAACAAGTAAAGGTTTATTCTGTGCAGAAAAGAAAAGAGACGCAACGTTTCGGCTGTGGAGCCTTTTTCAGTTGTTCTGGTTCTTCACACACCTGAAGAAGGCTCCACAGCCGAAATATTGCAGATACCTATTCTTTTCTTTTCAGCGCGGAATAAGCCTTTACTTGTTCCTTTGCAGCCTACGCATGCTGACGCAGCTCCCCTACTTGAACTTGATCTAATAGGATGCATGTTTTGCAATGAATTAGGTCCTAGTGAGATGCAGCATAACCTAAATGAAACTTATATACTCCAGTGTTAACTACTTACTATCTAAAGGACATACAGCTCTCCTTTGTGCTTTTTAATACATTTTGTAAAATGAAAACATCAAACTAAACAAAGTATTTAGCGAGCTAATCAATGAGTATTACTCTTTGATGATCAGAAGCAGTAACCAATCCTGTAACAACCTGGTCCCCCCTGTGAACTTTCATTTTATTAGTTGAGAAGAGAATGATTTATGATTCAGACTAAAACTATCATCATTTGGACTTTAATTGCAGGGCAGAAGTTCAGCGCAGTCCAGCGGAATTCTCATCTACTGTAACAATCTGTAGTTGACTAGTGTGGCCTTTTGTATGGGTTAAGGGAGAGGCCACCTCCTTATCTTCTGTGCAACATTCCTCCCTTCTACCGTATGACCTGGGATAAATAATGCGCTGTGCCTCTCCATCGTAATGACTGCATTACATCCATCAACTGATTGTATTTGCAGTGGAATAACATTTCAGCAGTATTAAAGGGGGGGGACTGCAGTCCCATTTTCTCAGACTGGTTATTAAATCTTGGTAACAAAATAAATTGATTGTCAGTATCGCAAACTTTTGTGAATTCCAAATTCAGCACAAAATTGTGAACTCTGTAAAAGTCCTGTACAGTCGCCATGGTGTCAGGAGTTTGCAAGAATTGTGACGAGAAGCAGCCCTTCCTGCTCACTAGTCCCTGTGATGACTAATGTACTGTGATGTACGAGTGAATAAGTACAGGTTGTGCAGCAGACATTTCACCACAGAAATTTTCCAACGTGATCTGTATGCAGTGCTAACAAGTAATATTTCTTAGCAAAATTGTCTGGAAGTTGAGAGTAATATTTCTATTGGATTAAAAGAGATGTATTCACAAGCCTGCTTGTTTACAATGTAATAGGGCATCACCTCACCTAAAGTTTTCTTGCCTTGTTCTGAAACGCAGACAATGACAGCAATATGGTGCTGCACATACCTGGAAATTTAGTTTATTTTGTGATGTAAATTGAAGGGCTTCCACATTACTGTGTACATTTTACTTTTATTGTGGTTTAAATTTCATTAAAGTTCCACTCTGGCTGCTGCCACATCTTCCAGGTGGGGCTGCACAGTGGTGTTGGTGGAGGGGAGTCCCCATGACCTGTAAAGCACTTTGAGAGTGGAGTGTCCAGAAAAGCGCTATATAAGTGTAAGCAATTATTAATATTATTATTATCAATTGTTAATATTATTATTATTAATTATTAAAAAATGCACTCATCAATCCTGATTCTTTCTAACCCCAAAATATAAAAACAGAGTTGTGGTTCCCCTTTAAATGCCTTTCACTAACTTAGCCAGAATGACCCTGGGAAACAAATACTAACCTTACAAAGCTCGCTTTTACAGCTGGTCCTCTGATAAACAGTCAGGACTTTGTCGCGGAATAAGATTTGCATGCATCAGCCTCTCTGCCTTCAACAGCACATTTCTGCGTTAGAACAGGGCCTGAGTCCGAGCCCTGAGACCAGCCCTGTGATTGGATGGACTTCCTCACCAACAACACAAGGAGCAAAGGCAGCACAGCTGTTCCGTTTCCTCAGGCTTGGGATTCATCACGGGGGGGGAAAGGCCAAACACACGTATGCACTGAAATAGTATTAGTCATTAAGAATTGGTGAGACTTCCTTTTTTATGGTGCGTCGTCGAGCCTATACCCACAAATGGGTGAGGGAGAGTCACCTTAGCATTTTCTGCCTGAAAAGATAAATATCTGATTTTCGTTTCTTCAGCTTCTGTTCTTGGAGGAAATGAGATATGGAGAACACCACCCTCCCCACACCCTCCTCCCACATCCCCCTCCACCGTGTTTGAGTGGAGTAAATACGGAGCAATCAAGGTGCAGGGCCTCTGGTTTGCAGGCTTATTCATCAGCTGTCAACAAGGGTCACCTGCCAAGCAAGGCTTCCAATAAAGGAGGGTCTCCTGTCTGCACACGGTGCAGGACGGGTGAGGCGAGCAACAATTTCAACGAGCTGAAGAAAGGATTCGCCGATTCAAAGGAACGAGTCCTTCATCCTGGAGTGGGTCTACTTAATTAATCTAACCCTCTATAGACACTTTTTCAGGATTTCATTTACTAAAGCGGCTCTTACTGTAGTGATCTACACCCTTCTCACCCGCTGCTCAGTAGAGCCAGTTAACACTTCAGCGCTTCAACGGCACCTAGTTTTAGACTGAGCGCACTGCTGTAGAAATCAGCCGGGCCAAGCGCAGAAAAAACAGAAACATCCACACGCAGGACTTTGTTTCCTTCCAGGGGGCTTCGCAAAAGTTGAGAAAAACTGTGAAGGCACCCATTCAAAGTTTCCGTTTGTACTATCTCGCAGGGCTGAGGAACACTGTCAATGGAGGCACGGCAGTCAGCAAAGGGAGACTTCAAAAGCTCTGCTTCCAGGCTCTCCCACACTCCCATCAGAGCCATCTGTACAGCAGGAACAAACAGCATTCGCGTTGTGAATTTCTGCACGGGCACTTAGGATTGCTATTCACGTACGTGTCATGTCAGATGCTCTTTCTTACCCAAGGAGAATGGTCCCAGAAGCCCAGGCAGCAGAGTCCGAAGCCAAGAAGGGAGAATCTCAGAGAATTTTATCCAAAAATTCTGAAAATCCAAACACGTCATATCGTCAGCACTATTGGTATCTATCACATTGCTCGTGACACAGCCTGCGAAAAGCTGTCTGCGATGTCAGCAGCCCAGACTGAGATGGTAGACATCGCTGATGATGGCTTCCTTAATCCATTTGTCAGAACTCCTAGGAGAGGGATAACCTGCAGAGATCCATTCCTTTCAAACAATCAAGGTAAAGTGAGGAAAACAAGAGAGAACCAGCAGCAAACTGTGATCATAGTATGGTGTGCTTTGAAGCATGTTTGAACACTCCGGGAAAGTAGACTCTGAAGGAAAGAAACAGTTTAAGATGAGATTAAGATAAGTAGAATGAGATGGGATGGAGACAGAATCAGTAGAGAATCTGCAGGAACAGTTCAAAGATTTTATGACTGAGGTGCTGAATATATGCATCCCAAGAGCAAGTTGATCAGAGGCTAGAAAGCAGGTTTAATAAATCGATTAAGAAAACTAAACAAAGTAAGGGAGCACCTTGTGGAACGACAGAAACAGAACAGGACGCAGAGACAGAGAAAAGGAGTGTAACAAACTGCAGACACAGAATAGCTGAAAGAGAATGAAAGCTACAAAATACTGCAGTGGAAGTTAAAATAAATCATCAAAGGTGTTTTCAGTATTGTATCAGGTTAAAAGCATTAAGGGATGGACTCAATGAGGTCTCCCAGGTGCTCACCATCATGCCTCACTTGAGGAAAGATGAAATTCTGTGCACAAGAGTATAAGAGAGGCAGATTGTTGCAACCACTGTTGCAAGGGTTTTAATGAAAGACATGGTATGTAGATTTGGGACCCCAGGGAACATTTCTAGTGACTAAGGAACTCTTTGCACTGGACAAATCATGAAGGAAATGTCTACGGCCTTACAAATACAACAGCACCTACACTGCCCGTATCGCCCGCAGTCTGCCGGAGCAGTGGAGAGACAAGCTGGAATCCTGAAAAACAAATTGTATCGATGGCCATGCGGTCCACCACGAAGCAAAAGACTGGCCTCTCACCACGAGGTCCTGATAATCTGTCTGCCCACACAAACTCGAGTCACGTACCCTGTTGGATTAGGAAAATCCCTTGCTCCGATCAAGTGAGAACGGCACCCACTTTGGGAATTTCAAAAGGCTCCCTTACCTTACTTATGGCGCGCTCTGTGGTCTCCTGTCGAAATCCCGCTCCACAGGGCTCGCTGTGCCGAGAAATTGTCGAAGAAAACTCTTCTCTCAGGCTGGGTGTGGTTCAGCAGAGTCCTTTATTCACGCGCATGGAGAGGATACAATCATACAGATCTGAGAGCAGCCTCTCAGTGATGATGGCAAAGGTATTGGGTTTTATACAGAAAATTCAGGGTCGCTTTGTAGAGAGAAAAACAACTCCTAATATGGACATTTAGAATGAACTAATTACACGTCTTTGTAATTGACCACTTTATTCCTAAGAGGCAATTTTACCTTTTATATAGACAAAAGGAAATTGAACTAGACATTCTGTGGTTACAGCATAAGCATCAAAAGGTCAAATAATGTGATTGCTATTATCCTTTCATACTGTTGCTAGGTAGAAAAGGCAATAGTTACTATTTGATACATTAAAAAAGGTAAATGCTAAAATTGTTCCTCAGAGGCAGGAGTGTTTCAGGTATTAAAGCCCTCCTCCTCAGGCCTGTGAACCATGAGCAAGAGTCACAACAGTCTTCCTTCTTCAAAGCTGCAGATGCCAGAGAAATGCTGGAAGCTACTTTAAAAACTGTGAGCCCCCCCCAGAACAGTTTGAAGATGCTAGTTCAATCCATCAGGGAGTCGGGGAGGTGCCATCTGAGCGGCAGGCGCAAGTTCAGGGCTGTTTCCACACGGGGCGACCCGCCAGGGCATGGATGACAAAGAAAATCGTTGTGACCGGCCCTGAGACGCAGTCGAGGCAAATTCTGCTCCACCACACCACGCCGCCGTCTCCAGCTTGGCAAACATAGGGGAAGAGAACAGCAGCCTGTGTGTTTCAGCCCATTGCGTTGGGCGACACATTGTGTCCGATACATTCTACAAACATTCTACTGCATGTGTAAAACACCCAACAGGCTAATTAATTCAATTACTGTAAAAGCAGATTTGTTTTTTTATCA